AAGCACGTGGTGGCCAAACAAGCTCCTGAGTACCATTTTGAGTTGCTGCAATGAAGTTTCAGCAAAATAGACTAGCCTGCTTCTAATTTTCATTTCCATCAAATGAATGGGCATCATTATATTCCTAACACATTGCCCAGTCCATATCAGTATAGATATTCAGCATGAGATTTTTCCTCATTGAGATATGATGTGTTTTCAAAGTGTTCCTTTAATTTTTTTGACCAGTGTAGAACACTATATTGTGTTTATATCTGAGAAAATAGCTACTCTTTAGTATTTACTAGATAGCCGCATAAGGATTACAAATATCTCATGTTGATTGAGAGAGTGAAGTTTTACTGTAATGTCAATAGTTTTTGACACTTTTGCTGGAGTACATCCTGTAGATGCAACAGTTTGGGGTTGATTTACTAAAACTGGAGAGTGCAAAATCTGGTGAAGCTGTGCATGGTAGCCAATCAACTTATAACTTCAGCCTGTTCATTTAAGCTTTGACAATAAAACCTGGAAGCTGATTGGTTTCTATGCAGAGCTGCACCAGATTTTGCACGCTCCAGATTTAGTAAATTAACCCCTTATGTTCAGGTCATTTTATAAAGAATTATAAGCATGTTATTTTGCCCATGCAGTTGCATAAAAGACACACTCCCCACTGAACTGTATTTTATTTGAGCATTAGTACCTCGTGGCAGTGTCTATCTATCCTTGTCCATTTTTTAATCAGAATCTTGCAAACTGGCTTGGAGAAAGGATAAAACAAAACAAAACAAGATTTGGCTCCTATAGACTTCAGTGGGGTTCAGATGTTATGTTTGATATTTGTGAATTTCAGACTGGGTTTGCGAATTCTTCCACAAACCAAACACAGGCCAGCTTGCTTATCAGTAATGTCTTCTACTTTTTAGTACATTTAGAGGTGGTATGAAATGTTATACAGCCATCACCACCAACCCCTCCCTCCCCCCCCTCCCCCTTTTTTTTCCTTTTTTATTCTTCTTTCCTTCCTCTTCTCCTACACCTTAGCCCGCCTTCTCCATATCTCCCCTGCAAGGGCCCACTTACTTTGCCCACAAGGGCTCTACTCCATCTTCTCAGACAGACCTATATGTGGCACTAGCTCTCCCAAGATCACCAGACCCCCACATCCTTCCCAATATGCCTGATCCCAAAGTCCCCTCCGCATATACAGCTCCCTGTGAGAAATCTAAGCTATCTCTTCCTCTGATGCTTCTCACACCCCCTCCCCCCTCCTTCCAGGTTCATATTCCCTCTTTTCCCTCCACACCCCTTCCCATAGGGGCAGAACCCCAATAGTTCACTACTGTTTTTGTTCAATGTTATGACCAGTACTTGTTGTACTTGCAAGTTAATCCTCATTATACATTGTACTTTCCTCATTTCTCATGTCTGTATGGCTTTTACTCTTTCAATAAAACTTTTTGAGGAAAAAAAAAAGAAATTTTACAAGTAAGTGGTAACACCTTTCCTCCTTTGTTCCACCACTTTCTACTCATTGGCAGAACAGAAAAAGACTGATGAGTATGAATCCACACAGTTATGCAATGCCTGTTTATAAAAGCAAAAACAATGACTGAAAAGTCTAGAAATCAATTTAACAGCTTAGAATTGTTTTTGAGAACAGCCAGCAAAGTTATTATATCATTCAATGAAACTGATCAAAGCAATTAGCACTGTTAGCAGGTCATGCCCTGATATCGGCAAAACAAACAGTGACTTGTAATATGACAGAAATAGAATATTGGTCTGAATGTAAAACAGCCATATACCACTTGTCAGCCATGTTCTACAAAGACAAACAGCAGTGGCAAATGTTATTCCACATTTTCAGAAGGGGGACCTGTCACCTAGAGACAAAACATGACCACTGATCTGTCCAGGTTATTGGAAAAAAATAGCATAATGGTGCTTTCCTTCTATAAATGTATTTTTTTACAATTTATTTATCAATTATTATTATTATACAGGATTTATATGGCGCCAACAGTTTGCGCAGAGCTTTACAAAATGAAGGTAGACATTACAGTTGCAATACAATTTGGTACAAGAGGAAACAGAGGATTCTTGTATAATTCCAAACTTTTTATATTTAGGGATCTTGCTCCAGAATATCTCATTAATTATGAGATAGTTAGTTATCACAGGGAATCTATTCACAAAAAGCCACATGAGCAGTAAACTAAAAATATAAAATAGCATGTTTTTGCTTTAGTGTGCAATATTATTTTACAATATAGTACTAAATGCAGAATCATTTTCTCCAGTGCTTGGGTGCAGCATCATGAACTCCCAAATACATGCGGCTTGGAGCCATATAAGGGAAAATAGAGGGTGCAGAAATTGCTGATTTTCTTTGCTAATTTCTCATCAATGGAAATGTGAATTTGAAATGTAAAATTGACTTTTGCATTGCTTTAGTCTACATTACGATATTGATTTGTATTACAGATTCATTTTAAAATCTAGACTATTTAAAAATTGTAAAGGCACATCAGTAATTGAAAATTAAGCTATGTAATGGAGACAAGTAATGCAGCCTGCAATGAAAGTTGTTGATGTTTCTTTTTAATCTAAGCACATCTGCAGTACACCAAGCTACTACACTCCCTTTCTGGGTTTTCTAGTGATCAGAGAGCATCTTTTGCTTTCCAGCCTGCAGTAGTGGATCTACATAGGGCAGGGATTGGCTGCCTAGGACCAAATGGTCACAGGGGAGCCCATACCAGCCTGCAACCCCTACTCCTTTACCAAATATGTACCCCACCCCAAATGTATGTGGTGTAGAAGACATCTGTAGTGGAATGCCACATGACTCACCATTATCAGGTGCAGGTACAAACTTCTTTAACTCCTTTTCCCACCGTTACCTGGGTTCCCACAATCCCTTTGGTTCCCAAAAGCTCCTAGGCTTCTGGATAATACCATGGAAAATATATTCCCAATTCCCCTGCTTTTAGCAGCTCAGTGACACCACACCTGATGAAGCAGAGGTGTCTAGACATGTGATCAGCAGCCATGTATATGGTCCTCTACTGTTAGTCCCAGCTGATCTGCAACTGGAGGACTTGGAGGACCGATCCAATTGCCTAACAGAGTACATTGCTTCATGTGGGGTGGCCCTGCATCTGTAGTATCAGCCCTGGGACTCCTCCAGCTGCTAGCTTATGGTGCCAACCTAGAGATCCCTCCAGCTGTAGGCCTGTGTACCCAGACTTGCTCTGGACTTAACTGTTATAGATGCTGTCAGAGAGGCTAGATACAAGCAGATGTATATTAACCAGGGGGGGACTGATAACTCATGGGGCCCCCGGGCAATAGGGGATCTTGGGGCCCCTGTGTCCTCGCCCACACACCCAAAAAAAGCCTATGAAAAAGCCAAGGAAAGGTACCAGGGGCATCTCAAGGGGCCCCCTACTGACCCCGGGCCCTCGGGCAGTGCCCGAGTGCTCGAATGGTCAGTCCGCCCCTGTTATTAACTGTTTATTGAAATAATGGTTGTGCTCTGGTCTCTGTGGCTACAGGTCCTTATTGGGACAGTGATGTACTGTCATCTAGTGTCCTTAATCAGTCACACAGACAGTGTTCTTATGAACTCCTGTTTATAAAGCTTCATATTCATTTTAACATTGTTATATACTGTATACTGTATGCACACCTTTTTGCCATTTTAACCCTGTTTGAATTGTTAATCCTACTCTTCACGTGTTTAGTAAAGTTCCAGTTAAAGCTACATTCTGTTTGCTCATTTGGGCAATTCCCCTACCTGTTATACATCTTACTACTCCACTTCTGGCTTTATTGCATTATATTATATTGGGACAGTGGGCATTGTTTAAATGGCGGAGGTGGGGAGGGAGCAAAGAGGTAGATTAAGTATATAATTGTATATTGGGTTAGGGATGAGGTTCTTGTTCACATCTTCCATGGGTTTGCAGTAGTTGATCTCTGGGGTTTGTAGAATTTGCAAATTGTGAATTTTTGTCTAAAAACTTTGCCACCAGAGAGGAAGGAACAAGCTATATTGCAGTGCATGGCAGTTTCCCTTGGTAAGCTGAATCACAATAGCCAATCATTTAAAGGAGAGGATAACTTGGTCCTATTTCTATAAAATGGTGGGCTCGCAGCAGCCATATTGTTAGTGGGTGTTAGAGTGAGATACTGTTTTTTATTTTCGTTTTTATATTAATGGCAGTTCCTGGCCTCCCATGCCTTCTGTTTGACAATAACTTTCTGTTTAGCCCTACAAGTGGTCAGAACTGAATACAAAAGATTTGCCCCTTTCCCTATAGATGTTAGTGATGTTTGATTTAAAGTTTGCAAACTTTGAACATGATTCACAAAACTGCTTGCAAACTGAACCCAGGCAGATTCACTCATCCCTAATCAAAACTTTTCTGGAACACAATATGAGGCTGGGTTCATACCTTTGCATTGTATATCAAGAAATGTCTGAACTGCACCACTGGTTCCAATTTTTCTTAAAATCAGTAAAACTATAGATTAGCTGAGACTGAGTTTTATATATACTTTTACTCATCGGTATGGTGCTTGAAAGGAATGAAGAGAACGACAACTGACTTGTAGACCTTTTTAAAGCTATGGTCTCAGATTTATCATTCTTTTGTAACTGCAAAGATGAATAAGCCATCTGGTCTACAGTAGATTTGTAGTTATTGTACTACATATACAATATGCTTCATCACAGATGTCTAAAAATAATAACGATGACAAGCCAAGGCATTTTTGGGGCTATAAGGTTCCCTCTCTCAGCAAGACAAAAATTGCTGGTTTAGTTGGATTTATTGTACCTATTCATATAATTCCTGAGGAGGGGACTTTAACTGCCTCCCGCCCGCCATATAGTAATACAACAGACGCAAGGTGGTTCTCTCATTCTGGGAGGACGTCATATGACGTCCTCCCATTCTTACCACGCATGCGCGGCTCCCAAAGTGCACAGCGCAGCGATCGGTGGTGCGCTGTGTCCCTCGGACACAGCGGATCACCGATCCACAGAAAGAGCCGAAGATGTCGGCTCGGTCATGTGATCAGCTGTGTCCAATTACAGCTGATCACATGTAAACAGGGAAATGCTGGTTATCGGCATTTCTCTCCTCTTGAGCTGTCACGCTGACAGCTCGTGAGGAGAGGAGAGCCGGTAATCGGCATTCCTCAGAGGGGACATGTACACTGATCATCAGAGCACTGATGATCAGTGTGCCCTGATGATCTGTGTAGCCCCAGCACCTGTCAGTGTCCATCAGTGCCAGCTCTGTGCTCATCCATGCCACCTGCCAGTGCCCATCAGTGCCACATTTCAGTGCCCATCAGTGCCACATCAATGCCACATATCAGTGCCCATCTGAGCTGCCTTTCTGTGTCACCCATCAGTGCCAGTCAGTGCCACCTATCAATGCCAGTCAGTGCCACCTATCAGTGCCACCAATCAGTGCCACCTATCAGTGCCAGTCAGTGCCGCCTATCAGTGCCAGTCAGTGTCGCCTATCAGTGCCAGTCAGTGCCGCCTATCAGTGTGCATCAGTGCTGCCTATCAGTGCCAGTCGGTGCCGCCTATCAGTGCCAGTCAGTGCCGCCTATCAGTGCTGCCTATCAGTGCCATATATGAGTGCTGCCTTTCAGTGCCCATCAGTGATGCCTGTCAATGCCCATCAGTGCCACCTATCAGTGCCCATCACTGCAGCCTCATTAGCACACATCACTTATTTACAAAATTTTATAACAAAAACTAAGAAAAAACTTTTGTTTTCAAAATTTTCAGTGGTTTTTGGTTTGTTTAAAAAAAAATAAAAAACCCAGAGGTGATTAAATACCACCAAAATAAAGCTCTATCTGTCACAAAAAAATGATAAAAATTTCATATGAGTACATTGTTGCATGACCGCGCAATTGTCATTCAAAGTGCAACAGCACTGAAAGCTGGAAATTGGCCTTGGCAGAAAGGGGGTATAAGTGCCCTGTAGGCTAGTGGTTAAAGCACCAAAAGCTTGGATTCTTAACATTTTAGTTAGCCACTAAAAGGTATCGCTTTGACATCTTTTTTGCCTTCCCAACCTCTGAACTTATCTAAGAACCATCATTAGAAGAAATAGTGTTGTATGAGCACACAGACATTATTTCTTAAGCATCTTGTGCACAAAAAACACTGTGCTAATTGCTCTTTATTTCTTTTTTTAAAAATTTTAAATAGACTCACTGGAAAAACTTTTAAGAAAAAATTAAATGCACTCAAACATTTTCTTGGCCCAAAATTGTCTATACATATAAATATACCTTATATTATATTTTTTATTTTACCAGTTGTTGCCAAATGTTCACTGGAGCCTGCAGGATGTAGTTCAAAGGAAATGGAATAGCATATAAAGGAAGATACAACAAGAATTACTGTACATTGGAGCTTCTCCCATTTTAATAAAAAACTGTCTCGTGAGATCCTCAGGATGTGAGTCTTGAAAATATAACAGGATATTTGCTATGAGGCTGACCATCACCTTTTTTTTTTTTTTACTTTACTGTACAAAATTACAACTTCCAGAAAATGCATACTGTTGTGGTGTCTGGCCTAACTGAATCCAATGAGTTATTTTTGTCTAGAAATTAAATGAACACTTTCTACACTGTTATCTGCACTCCAGCTTTACTGTATTCCTAAAGTTTTATAGTATACATTGAAAGATACAATGTTTTACAAGTTATTGGAATTCCATTTTTATATAATGATCCTTTTATTAGATATAATGTATATCTATATAAGATGATAACATGTGAAAAGAATAAAGACTGTGGGGAAGATTTACTAAAACCAGAGCACTCAGAATCCAGTGCATGGTGGCAGCCAATCAGCTTCTAACTTTGACTTGTTCAATTAAGCTTTGACAATGAAACCTAGAAGCTAATTGGTTTCTATGCAGAGCTGCACCCATTTTGCACTCTCCAGTTTTAGTAAATATCCCGTGTGTGTGTTTGTCCCTTAACCTCCCTGGCGGTATTCCCGAGTGTAGCTCGGGGTTAACTTTCAGTACCAGAAGCGGTATCCCTGAGTTACATTTGGGATTGCACTGCAGCATTGCTCTGGGATCCCTCGAGCACTTACCTTGTCTTGTGGTCCCGCGATATCCCCCCTGCAGAGTCCCCGGCCATGTCCTCTGGCCGATGCCGGCATCCATCTTCCGGGTTCCATTCCCTGCGAGCGTTGGGACGTACAGGACGTACAGGGTACGGCACCTGTGGGAATTTCAAAAATGTAAAAATTTGACATTCACTCAATACACTAAAATCTGATAGTATTCCATTACTGTATCAAAGCATTTCACATACATGTTGTCCCTAATGCTTTGTCCTGTGCCCTGCCAGCATTTTTACTGTTCTTTCTGCCTGGAAACTGAGAAACGTCCATGGCGTCCAAAAAGTGTCCCTTTAGTTCAAAAGCGGTTTTAGACCAGATAGAGAACAGCGATAGTAAATTAGAACCACTTGCAGAATTGAGTGATAATGATTCGTGGGGGAAATTTGTCATCAGACACTGAAAACGATTTTGCGACTGAGCTCAGTGATGTGCGAACTTGGCTCTGTTTTTCAAATTTCAGTGTTTTTTGGTTTGATTACATTATTGAATTTAATGTGTTATTATTATTTTTTTTTGATTATTTATTCTATTATAATTTATGATTTCATGTTTCAAATTTTATCATACCCGGGATGTTTACTAGACTCTTGTTCGGACAGATTTCAGTGAGTTATTCCTAAGAATTACAGGCCTACAATAAAAAAAACAACATATTTCTATTGAAAACAATGTACCGCTTTGAGCACAGAAATACTGACATAATCAGACCGCTACAGAGGTTAAAGAATACCTCTTTTTCTTGTTGAAATACAGTAAAGTATTGTAATGTGTTGCTTATGTTTAAAGAAACTCTGTGCTTTGCCCATGCAAGGCAAAGCACTAGGTTTATTACATTGCTTATACTCACCTTCCTTTTATTCTCTTACTGCTTAGTTTAACTCCATTGAGTGAAAAGAAACTCCTATGTAAGCAATGAATCACCAAAGTCGTAGTTTATACAGAGCTATGCACTCTCTATGTTACAATACTGATCGGCTCAGATCTGTAACTAGGACTGAATCAAATGCTTCTCCAACCCCATCTGGCTGTCATCTGCAGCACCAAATTAAGCAGCAGGGGAGTGAATGAAAGGTAAGTACTGTATATGCTGATGATGAGCATGAGGGGAGTAAAGCAGACCTTTAGCTTTGCCTCAATGTGTTGTAACTATTAATAAATCTAGTTATACTGGTTTGCATGCCAAATGGCAATTCTAATATGCCTAATTTTTGCTAATGTACTTATTTGGTTTGCAAGAAAGGTCGATAACTAAACCCCTTTTAGTCTACTTTAATTGTTTTGCTTTCAGGTAATGCCATGGGGTTAATACAGGGTTAAGGAAATCATTAGTGCATTCTCACATGTTAATTCTGTGCCATTTAAAGAAAGCATACAGAACCAAGGAGACTAGAGTTGTAAGCTTCTTAGATTACTTCTTCCAGGTATTCTAAGCATGTATGTGTGCGTAAATGGCTAAACGCTAGGCAATAATCTTGAGAGCCTTAGGGGCTAGTTGATCATAGTGCTTTAGAACATAGAGAGAGTTCTTCCTGAGAACGGTTGAGAGTTTGCCCAAGAAATGTAATTTCCTCCAAAGAGTTGTTGATTTGTCTGCTGCGTGGAAAAAAACTTCCAAAACCAATAATGTAATTCAAGCAAGGCCTCTGTGAAACTTACATTCTTTGTTGTTACTTCAGGAACACACAGTTTGTGTATATGTTTGCAGAAATATATGTTTTTGGGCCTTTCCAAGTCAATAAAAATAAAATTTTTTGCTCTCAGCCAGAAAAAATTAAATTATCAAGGAACCCACATAGAATTTGGGTGAACATTTTAAGCCCAGCTGGAATCCCAGCTTAAATCACCTAAAATATGATCCAGGTGCATAAAAACAAAATGTGTTCAAGGTTTTTTTTTTATGTATACACCTTGCATATAACTACTTGTTGGCCATTATTACTTTATTGGATAATATTTATAAGGATGGTTTGTTTCCACCTAGTAGTGTGGAGTTTAGTGTGTGGTGTAGAGTAATGCTTGATAGGGTACAAAAATTATATGTGGTTGAGCTATTCTACAGCCCCTCAACCGCCACCCTTAAAGAGGAGGTCCAGGTTCCTCCCAAAAAATTAGAAGTCAGCAGCTACAAATAATGAAGCTGCTGACTTTTAATCTAAGGACACTTACCTGTCCAGGGTTCCAGCGCTGTCGTCACACGGGTTAGTTCTTCACTAGCCTCCAGGTTCCTGGCGCCGGCATTTCAAGTAAGGGAAACTGGAAGTGATGCCTTGTGGCTTCACAGCCGGTTTCATACTGCACATACGCGAGTCTCCCTGCGATTTGAGATTGGTCCCACAGTCTTCTGGCACCTATAAAGTGTCCTAGAAGACTGAGAGGGGAAGGAGGGGGGGGGGGGGGCAAACTTCAGGCTAAGTTCACCTATCAAAACAAGGTCCCCTCCCCAAAAAGTGCCAAATGTGGCAGTGGAGGGGGGGGAGGAGGCAGACAAGCGGAGCCTCCCCTTTTGGGTGGAGCTCCACTTTAAGCTGCAACAGCAGCCAGATGGAGTTGTATGCATGCTGCAGCAAAAGTATAACGTAATTAGCTCCTGGGCTTTTGATTCTTGTACAAATCTACAGAAGTGTGCTGTAGAGGGGATTGAAAACACAATGGGAATAGTTACTAAAACTGGAGCTCTCAGAATCTGGTGCAGCTGTGCATGGTAACCAATCAGCTTTTAACTTAAGCTTCTTTAATTAATCTTTGACAATAAAAGCTGGTAGCTGATTGGTTTCTATGCAGAGTTGCACCAGATTCTGAGTGCTCCAGTTTTAGTAAATACCCCGCAATGCTTCTGCATTGTGTTTAACCTCCCTGGCAGTATTCCCGAGTGTAGCTCGGGTAAAGTTTCAGTACCAGCAAAAAGTACGAGTAGTGAGCGCTCCTATAAATAGCTGCTAAAACACCAAGAGGTACCAATCACTCTACGGTAATAAATATATATAAAAGAGGTGTAGCGCTAAAAATCCATATAAAACAACAAACATATGCCAATATGGCCACATATATTGTAAACGTATGTAAGTCCATAAACGGATATATAGTCTGATAATACAGCAGATGAATTTGTGACTCCAGCCAAAAGTGAAAAATGCACACTCACCGGAAGCGCATAGATAATGCGCATATGTAATAATCCTCAAGGTATACTGGTCTCTCCGGTGAACTTTTCCTCATGGTACAGTCATCAAGCCGTTAAGAAAGCGTTAGAATCCACTGGTTCCAGAGGTCCTCCTTAAGATTAGTGGGGTAATCAGCCTGGATAGGATCTCTTATTCCTCCGGATATGCTGGGTACTCACTGCTGCCTGTGGGCTTAATAGCTCCAAATAGGAGCCACAAAAGAAGTGCCCATAGTGTAGTATATTAAATGACTTTTATTTGTAGTACCGCATGAAACAGACAGGGTATAGTGATGAGCAACAAGTAATAACACTATACCTTTATTAAAATGGCCGCCTGGGCTTCCTTCTAGCTCCAGGTGGCAGTAGTGTCATGTGCTGTCTGGTTCCTCCTGAGGCCTTTCGTGCAATGGCACTTCTTCAGAAGGAGAACCTAAATGCATTGCACTTGAGTTGCTGCCATGTGAGTGGCTGATTAGCATTTGTGTTACTAAGAAATTGAACAGGGGTACTTAACCTCCCTGGTGGTATTACCGAGTGTAGCTCGGGGTAAAGTTTCAGTACCACAAGCGGTAGCTCCGCGATCCCTCGATCACTTACCTTGTCCTGCGCTCCAGCAATGTCCCTCCTGCAGTGTCCCCAGCAATGTAATCCGGCGGATGCCAGCATCTGTCATCTGGGTTCTGTCCCCTGCGAGTGTCGGGACGTACGGGGGACGGAACAGCGGGAAATTTGAAAATGACAAAAAGTGACATTCACTAAAATCACTAAAATCACATAGTAAAACATTACTGTATCAAACCATTTCACATGCATTTTGTCCCTACTGCTTTGTCCTGTGCCCTGCCTACATTTTTACTGTTCTTTCTGCCTGGAAACTAAGAAACGTCCATGGGGTCCAAAAAAGCGGCCCTTTAGGTCAAAATCGGTTTTAGACCACTAGAGAACAGCAATAGTAAATCAGAACCACTTGCAGAATTGAGTGATAATGATTCGTGGGGAAATTCGTCATCAGACACTGAAAGCAATTTTGCGACTTTGCTCAGTGATGTGTGAACTTGGCGCTATATTTCAAATTTCTGTGTTTTTGGTTTGATTATATTATTGAATTACATTTATTATTTTTATATTATTATTTTTTATGATTATTTATTAAATTATAATTTATGATTTCGTGTTTCAAGTTTTATCCTACCCGGGATGTTTACTAGACTCTTGTTCGGACAGATTTCAGTGAGTTATTCCTAAAAATTACAGGCCTACAATAAAAAAAAACATATTTCCATGCAAAAAAATGTACCGCTTTGAGCACAGAAATATGGACATAATCATACCGCTAGGGAGGTTAAATCTGCAGTGTAGTGACATTATGAGTGACATCACTGCACTTCCTGTTAGTACAGATGCAGCACTGTCCAGCTTCCCACTAAAATGGTAGATTCACTGCTATAGTGATCTAATGCCAGCTTATTACAGTCAGCAATAGATCACTATTAGATGTGATCTGTTGTTGAACAGCTGCATAGGGATATAGGGATTGTGGGATATGGATTGGTTCAGTGCCTGTATGTATATATGTGTAGATTTTGTGGGACTTAGTTCCAAATGGAGAACTGAACCCCTTCAGATAAGAATGTTTTAGGAATTACAATTGCAGGGGTTCATTTGTGTCACCATATTGACCCAAACAATAATCAGTCTCCGGGCTACAAAGTTGCCCAGCAATAGACTGTGCCAGACCATTCATCTGTTGCAACCTGGGGTTAATTTAGGGGAATTAATATTTTTATATAATTGTAAGAGATATGTACTTGTTGGGTAGGTACCGCGTGGTGTAGAGGGCAGTAAGTACACAGAGTTCCGATTTGACAAAGACAATGTAATGTAAAAGTAATTCAACAGTACAAGCAGGCTCAGTGGGGAGGCTCACCCGACTGGGAGCACTCACAACAGTGCAGTGTAGATACAGTGGTATGAAGACTCAGTACAACCAGCAGCATCTGCCACGAGAAGCAGAGTGCAGCCTGGCTGGTCCTACTCAAAGGGGAAGCATTCTTAGAAGGTAGACGTAGTCCCTGTTCTCTCCCTATTCCACTAGAACCTTTCTCTGTCGCTAGTGCTCTCCCTACACTAGCCATTCACATAAAGTGCACCAAAACCTGGGGTCAGTGTCTTAAATAGGCTCTGCTTGACCCAAGATGACCACCAGGATCAAATAGGACAAAAGCATCCAACCAGATCACTGTCTTGTGTGACCAAGAAAGTCAAAGAGCATTCAAGTTTCCCTCCACTTCCTCTTCCCTCTGTTGTGTTCCATCGCCACCCACAATGGAGAAGACACACTTCACCTACCTACATACTGTATATATCTCCTTAAAGATATAATGTTCCTTGTCCAAAAATAATCCCAGATTGCAACAGCAGGAGGATCTAGTTGGCATTTTCTTTCACTATGTATGAAATGGTCATCCAATTTTTAGCGATTAGGGAAGAAAAAAAGCTGTTGTACTGTTTTACCCTAATCAATTTGACTTAATCTCAGGACCCATACACACTTGAGTATTGTGCAATGCACACTAAAACGCATGTGTTGGTGCTCATTTTCACAGCACATGGCAATACAGCAAGTATGGTGCTTTGTGATGCCATTCATTGTAAACAGCATACCTATGTACTGAACAGTAGGTTGCAACATAAGATACATCACAGTGTGCCACATACCATGTTTTGTGGTGCACTACATTGCTATAAAAATGGGTCATTTCCATTCTTTCATCTCTTGTGATACATTGACAGGTCATTAATAAGAAAAGAGCTGCCTTAATGCAACACACCACTTAAGTTTTAATGGGCCATTGTCTTAGGACAAATTGTCAATTCGATCTTAAGTGATATATTGTATCTATACTATTGTGTGAAATGGGCTACCAACAAACCACAATGGATTAAAAATGCAGATGACCCTTTTTTAGCAATACAGCACACCACCATGTATGGTGTGAATGCCAGCATAATGCACTGCACATAGATAAGGTGCATTGACATGCATTGTGGTAACCCACATTGCCACAACATACAAGTGTGAATAGGCTCTTAATGTTACACTAACAATTTACACAAACTGTTTCTTTTACCTCTGCATGTATCACAATTTAGCGTTGAATGTTAAATAAAGCTCTCTTAAAACACATAAGTTCACTTTACTGTTTCACTACATTACATAAATCTCATTCTAATATGATATCACTTCCCACCCAGGCCAGTTCCGACATTTATAGGTTATCCAATTAGAGTTACAGAGTGGTCTAGCACTAGAATGATTGCTCTCTCTATAACGTTTGCAATGATACCTCACATGGGTGGTGCTAACACTATTTACATATGCGGGCGCGACCTATGTATGCATTCGCCACTACTCATGAGCATGGGGGAACAGGGGTACTTTAAAACTTTTTTTAAAATTTATTTTTACACTGTCCATTTACTTTTTTTCACTTTTATTTCTATCATAAGAAATGTAAATATCCTTTGTGAGAGAAATTGGGTTAAAAAAGAAAAGAGAGAATTCCTGATAAACTGCCACCATCCCAATATGACTCGATAAATTATGGAAAAAAAACCCCTGTACTAAATGGGACTTTGAAGGCCTCATACATAAAATGTGTAAACTCTTTATTTGTCAAAATCTCCTTAACATTATGGCACAACATGCCATTGTTACAAAACAGTTATATTGTACATTTTACCATATCACCATTGAAGGATATTATATACAAGTTAAACAGTGATCCTAGTTGATTACATAGATGTTTTTGCAAAATTCCAGCACGTTTCTGAGCCATATAGCTCCTTTCTCAGGGATATCAGACACTCTTTATAAAGGTGATATAGTCATATGAAAGACTCAAAATTTAATTTAATTTTTAATCATAAAAACCAGCTCCAGAATTGTCAGCACCTCCCGGCCAGGGCACCTATGGGCTCCAGGCACTTAAAAATCCCATCTAGACAGAACACAAGGGCCACCTAGATCACATTATACTTGTGGGAAATCTCAATATCCTCAGAATGGATATATTGGCACCTACATAGATAAGCCATAGACCATATAGTTGTATGGGTCTAAATTAATCTCTTTCCAATCATACCTTGTGCCCCATCAGACAGAATCAAAGCATACTCATGAGAAATCACTGTTGGCACCTCGGAGTGCAGGCATCATCCCGGTACAGCCACTGAAAATCCAGGATGTCATATGACGTCCTACGGGCGGGAAGAGGTTTTAATCAGCAAGTTATATATTACATTATGACGTTCAAAGTATTCCCAATAAAAACCAAATGAATAGAATATACTGTATGTACCCAGATTGGCTACCAAATTAAAGCCATATCTGTTCCCAAAAAATTATGAATAAGCTGTTGAATTAGACTAAAATGGCTAAAAGGTATTATGTGTGGAACCTAGGTATTGATTGCCAAATAAAAACATAAACCTTCTGGGACTCAAGAACATTTATGGAGAAAAAGGCCTGGTGATTCAATTGGTTATTTCTCAGGTTTACATTAAGGTGCCCATAGACATTGGATGACAAGCACCTGATTCAAGATTTCTAGAACACCAAATATTTAAAAAATCCTTTTAGAAAGCTGTTGCTTCCTTCAGGTTAGGTTGGGACTATCTACTCAATGTTAAACTACCCATCCTTTCTCACCTCCAAAGCTTCAATAGGAATTTGTACCACCAGAGCATTCCTGTTTTCTTTGACCACCTTTAGAAATGGTTAGATCCCCACAGATTTGGAACTGATCCCGATAACTACAATTCACAAATGGGAAAATCAAAAGAGTAATTACATTTTTTTAAGTTTTCCAGCTAATAATAATAGAAACAATATCACTTTCATTCCTTTTCTGTCTTTAAAAAGATTTGACTTTCTGAAGGAAGCATCACAGGAATATATTTATATAATGAGTAATAAAATCTGAATTGATCTTTGTTTAGGTAGAAAGAGCCAATGACATCCAAATTAGCTGCCATTCAGTGTCACTATGCTATCTCTCTGGCTGCAGACAGAATAGATCAGAATGGGGCCGAGTTAATATGCAATCCAGATTGCCAGGATGAAAACACATTGATGAAACTATAGAAAAGGCTGTGCTTAAAAGCTTAAATGGGAAATCTATGGGGAAAGCTCAGCTTAGTTGGACATAGAATGTTGCACACAAGACATTGCTTATGGAAAGAGCTTTTTGTTGTACACCTTAAAAAACAGACCTAGCAAAAATAAATATTATAAGCATATGATTAAATACTGAAGAAACATAGTGTGGATCATAGGATATTTATTTTAACAATGCTATCTTTCTTGGCTTGAACATTTGCTCTGAGAATTTTTGAACAGTCTTACAATGCAGTGGAACATATTATTGTGATATAGTAACTGTGCCAGTTCAGGCTTTTTTAATGCTGCACTTGTAGTTGATTATTATTGGCTGGCACTATGTTTTATCAGCAGTTGATAAGAGAAGTTGAGAAGACGTGCTGTTGTTGCCTCATTTAAATCTAAACAATTTCATCACCGAAACAGTGGGGTTTGGCATATTCCTTCTTCCTACAAGCAGTGGCTACTCCATGTAATACAATGACCTAATTTTATAAATTAAAGCACTAATAAATCTAAAATACGATTCAGACATTTATAAACAAGAAAAGCATTAAATAGTTTTCAAATGTGTATGGCGTACACAAGGTA